CACGCGCCGCCCACTAGGCGCGCGGGGACGGTGCCTGCGGTCCGCGGCGGGCGGGGGTATCTCGCCGCGCATTCAGATTCGACGAGCTTTATATATTGATATCTCGAAAACTATTGCGAAGATCGCAAAATGGTAGAGGACTTTTTTGTTCAGTTTTATCCACACTATCTCCCCACAAGCGCTGTACCATTGAGTATGAGACACCCTGTATATGTGGCGGCACTACCGTATATACAACAGATATGTACAAATATCTTGCGAATAATGGAAAAGGACAATGACATGCTGACAGTGCTACTAAATCATCTTAACGGATTATATAAACCGACAAATAACAAACGCGGACTAATAGACGCAATAGGCACCGTCGGAAAAACGTTATTCGGCATAATGAATGCGGATGACGCAAAACTAATAGACGAACAGCTAACGCTAATACAAAATAATCAACAGACGTTACAACACGCCGTAAAAAATCAACTTAAAATACTAAACGTCACGCTAGGGCATTTAACCGATGTAGAGCAAGCCGTAGATTACAACGAAAATTTAATATTAAACGCAACCCGCCGGATGGAGTGGCAACTAGCAAAATTTACTCAACGCGAAAATATGAACGAACAGTTATTCGTTCTGACGATAATAATCGCGGACTTGACTAAAGACGTCGAGAATATAATTGACTATATAACGTACGACTGATGAAGCGTACAACGAACTGATAATAACACGATTACTACCACTAGAGACTATCATCGCAGAATTGCGAGAAGCCGCGACTCAATTAACCAACGGACTGCATTTTCCTTTCCGAGTACAATTAGAAAATTGACAGAATTATATGAAAGTAAACGCATACTACGCGGAACCTAACGTTTACACTATACTTAGATTTCCCGTGATAGCATACCCTTCATACAAAATTGTAAAGGCGATTCTTTTCCCTCATCAAAACGTAATAATGTTTCTGTTTTTTTAAAAGTAAATCAGCCCATAGTGGCCATTGAAAAAGAAAATCATTACATGTTACTGAACAAAAAGGAATTAGCCAAATGCATGCGGGATGATGCCACTTATACTTGCGAGCGAACTTTACCCGTCTATCATACTAGGGCGGACGCACCATGCAAGGTGCAAATTTTCGTAAATGTCCCGGGACAACTCCAAAACTGCGAAATAAGACGCATATTATCGAACATCACGTTGTGGATCACATTAACGGAACCGCAAACCTGGTTGTATTCAACCGCCCAGAAACAAAAAATAAACATCGAGTGTAACAACCGGAAAAGAAAATTACTATGTGCGGTACCGGTAAGATGACATTAATAGGAAATTGTAAATTGACTACACCTGACATTACGCTGACAACACAGCAACAAATTTACACATCCAACATACAAACGCATCTGTCAGAATTTAACTTAACACTTGTAAAAAACAACCACGTAGAAGGCTATACCAGACTGCGTGACCAACCACAACTGAAACCTATAATTAAGAGCCCGACCGAATTACAAAAATTAAACATAGAACTAGATGAAGTAAATAAGCAATTAGATAGCTAGGGCGCATTGTTTACAAGTAAATACTTAATTCCTACTACAGGTAGTAGTATAACCATTATAATCACATTAGGTGTAATATGCCATAATAGGCGTAACTGTTTATATAATTAGGCGATGTAAGAAAAAGATCACTGAAGAAACCCACGAGGACCCGCGATCCTCGTATAAAAATAGCGACGTAATGTTATACCAGATATAAGAAACGATTGTAAACAATATTCGGGAATTCAAAATGTAAATTAGTAATAGAAAGAAAATTCGTATTTTCATTTTCTTTTCCCAAAGAGGGAGGAATGTCGCGAGGCCGATGCCCTCGCGACATTCCTCGTTAAATTAATTCGGTTTTATAATCACTGAGGTGAAGGTGCTTAAAGAAAGTAAATCTGTGAGATCAAATAAAATAAAGAGCTGATATATTTCGAAAAGTAACAAAGTGTCGGAGTTAATTATTCAAGTAAAAGTGAAGTCCTGTTCCCCCGCGGATCCTCTTGTGCCATACCCCTGGGCATAACAGACGTTACAAGTAACATGTTACTTCCAAACTTTGTATGAAATATTACATTATGAAGAACACCATCACAACTCGATTTTATTATCAACACTAAAATATATAAACTGAGCAGTTTTCAAACAAGAACACATAAACAGCCTGCACGACTTGTTAGTACTATCTATTGAATTTAACATAACTGTCTAAAAAGCAAGTAAATATTGGATACTAGACTATATTGGACATATTGGACAAAGTTACCTTAATACATTACAATAAAAACATTTTAAGTAAAATAGACAAAATACATATAATATATTTCTTCTTTGTTAAAGTTATTTTATGAAAAATGAGAAATACAAATGTTTCTTTTCTTTCTACTAATACAGGTACAAAGTCGATCAGTAGACGCAGAGTACATATCTTTGCTACATCATATTCATAGCAATAACATAGAAGGACATAATTTTAGAGGATATGTGATAACTGGATCTAAAATATCTTATAATACAGTTATAAATAAAGTAAGACATTATCCATATACAAGACCGATTTGTTTCATTTTTTCTGGGTTAGGATCTCAATGGTTTGGGATGAGTAAGTAAATATATTATTATTTTGAATGTTTCATAGAACATTGAGACATCTTATGTATATGATGTTTTTATATCCCAATTTATGATGGCATTATTTTAAAATTGCTTTAAGACGTTTTATACAATATTTAGTCATTTTACTAAAATAAAAATTAAACAGAAACACATTAACGAAAGAAATATACGAAAGAGTAACTGATGTTTGATTCTTTATCCTTCTATAGAAAGAATTAGGCAATAAAGGAGACTAAAACTCGTTGACAGTTTTTACAATTTCGATTTTTTAAATTAATTATTGTAAAGAAACTATACTAATGGTAGAGTTTCTTCACAATAATTAATTCAAAAAGTCGACATTGTAAAAATTGTCAACGAGTTTAGTCGTATTTTAGCCTTTATTGCCTAATTCTTTCTGTACTAATTCTTTGTGTACTAATGGTAGAGAGCTCTTCCTCTACATTTTTATGCAAAAAACAATTCTGTATATTGTATTGTTTCTTTGTAGTAAATAAAATACAAACATACTACACTTGCCAACTTGTTTTGATATTGAAATCAATTAATACATATCATGATGCCTGAACAACAAACTCCACAACTTTTTCATTGTTTCTTTTTCTATAAATACAAACTGAATGTAATATAAGCTTTTAATAGCTTAAAATTTTAATAGGTCAAGCTCTAATGAAACTTCCAGTGTTCGCTAAAACAATCCAAAAATGTAATACTATTTTGGGATCTTATGGTATAAACTTCATAGATATCTTAACAAATAAAAATAAAAGTATTTTCGACAATATTGTGAATTTATTCTTAAGTCTTGTCGGACTGCAGGTAAGAAAAAGAAAAAATAAATATAAATATATTTATATATTTATATTAATATAAAAATAAATATAAATATATTTTATTATACCATAAAATATGATTAAAGTTATATCTCATAACATTAATTTCAACTTAAAATAAATAGATAATAGAAAATAAAGATATTTCTTTTATGTATCACAGATTGGAATAGTCGATCTTTTAACATCCATTGGTATCGTCCCTGACTTTATAATCGGTCATTCTATTGGTGAACTAGTCTGTGGATATGCAGATGGATGTTTGACAGTCGAAGAAACAATTCTTTCGGCATATTTTATCGGTTTAGCGCTTTATGAGTCGAAAATAATTAATGGTTCCATGGCCGAAATTAATCTTAATTTTGAAACCATAAAAGATATCTGTCCTTCGGACATTGACATTGCATGTTATAATAATTCATCTAATTTTACTGTGAGCGGACCAACAGATTCTATAAAGTCATTTCTCGTCAAACTACGGGTATATTATTATTTAAACAATATATTTTTAGCTAACTTTCTTTAAAGACCGTAGCTGATTATTGGGTCAAAAATATCCTTGGCTGAAAAGAAATTTGAAACGTATTAAATGAAAAAATACAACAAAGAAAAATTAAGGACAAAAGAGGTTAATGAGAGACAAGCGCAGTATTAAGTGCGCAAAAAAAACAATTTTTTATAATACTTATAAATACATAGAAATCTAAATGTTTCGGCTCAGGTTTGAGTCATCTTTAGTTTGATTGGAATAATGTCGAGATTTTGAACGAGGAGATGTATTATAATAAACGATTAATCTCTAAAATGATTTTTATTAAACAACATAATGGACTTACAAAATGATACCGAACTCCTTGTTCCAATATATTTCGACATCATAAAATAACGATGTTCTTCCATTATGTAGGAGAGAAGGGATCTATATTATGTCTTCTCTCTCGACGTTTTAATAATTATTGTAACTGTCATGGCTCAACCAGTTCCAATCCTTTTATCTCTCTCTCGCTCTCTCTCTATGTAAGTCATTTAATTAAAGTTATCATTTATTTTATTTTAACAATATTGAAATGGTGGACTCTCTAATTTAAAAATTGCAATAAAAATTAAGGCCTATGAAAATCAAAGCAGCTGTCGGTGCTTAAAATGTATATTAAAAAATATTACATCAATGCATTAACAATACGATCGTTTCGATTTGGAGTTATCTTCAACGCAAAAAGAATATAAGAGATCAATCGATGGTCAATTAACGCTCTTATATTCTTTATGCGCTGAAGGTGACTCTAAATCAAGTCAAAACGTCCGTGTTGTTAATGCATTGATGTAATATTTGTAAATATTTTATTTTATTTAGTTATTTATTTATTTCTTCTATAATTTTTAATTTTCTTTGGTTAGAATAACTACTTATCTGTTTTAAATTTATTTATTGGTGTATTAAGGATTTTAGCTATGGACCTTTACGTTATTTTAATTATGGACTTTTATTCGCTCTGATCTAATGATTATTTTACCATTTGATTGCCGTGTAAGAAAAAGGGACTGGTACTATATGAGGAAACGTAATTTATTCACTAAAGAGGATCCACTTCACGGATTAAAATGTCTGATTTTATTGTATCGTGCGTAATTATGTACCAAATTGATTTTCATCATATATTTGTATATCATATATTTGCGTAATTATGTAATATATGATATTTATGATTTAAATTAAAATTATAACGATAATGGAACTGTTACGCCAAGCTGGGTGTAACGTGCTAGTAATCTTGAACAGTAATGGTAAAAAAGACATATTATGAAGCTACTTAAACGTACAATTTATAACAGACGTTTCGACCCTTTTACATAGCGGTCATTCTCAGTGGACATATAACGTATTAAATAACTAACCTTATGTACAAGTAAACGCATTAGGCTTGCAATGTATAAAAGTAAATGTTTTACAATTCTTGTCTTGGTTTCTAGACCTTTTGGAAAGCATCATCCTTAGTCCGTGATTTACAAAAAAGTGTATGTTAGAATATCTAGAAATAATGTAACTATAAGAGGAGAGCACACGATGGTAACAATCAAGAACGAGAATAAATAAATAACTGAATAAATAATAAATAGATAAAATTGTATAAAAATAAAATAAAATAAAATTATAAGTTATGAAAAATCATCTTGATAAAATGTGTGTAAACAAGAATATAAAAATCTAAAAAAGTTGAACATAGTCATTTTTCTAAAAGTGTGTATAACAGAAAGAAAATGCTATTAAGTAACAACAAAAAAAACATCAAAAATAAAATTTGAAAACCTTACATTATTTAGAACATATTCATATTCTTTAATCGTTACTGACATGTGCACGTTTTAAGAAGGAAAAGTGTAATGATGGGAGAGCGACTAGTAGAGACATTGAGAAAGGGATTGGATGTGAAAAGGGTAGTAAAGAGTGGTGGAACTTATGTAGAAAAGGCCTCAAGAATGGGGAGATAGGAATCCGATAATAATTCCGATAATAATTAAATTAAAATTATTTTTTCACGCTCTAACAACGGCGTAGGCTCGTATTAGCAACGTTTTCGTAAATATTTGCTTATAATTTTGTTTAAATAAAATCTATATTACCGTTTTCTTGAAAGAAAAATATAAATATGTAATATTTGTGGAGGTAGACGAACCGTCATATTGCTTGCTCGCTTCCGCTTTCTTTCGCAGAGAGAGAGAGAGAGAGAGAGAGGTGATTGGATAACTTCATGGTAAAAATGGATAAGAGTGTAGCTCCACTTGTATGTACAATATATTTACAGATTATGTACAAAATAATTTAAGTTTTCGAATGGGACCCTGGAAGGTTTACGCCTGGCTCGTCTACCGCTTCCGCTCAAAATATCTACAGCAGTGCCCTAATGTAATGGATAGCCTCTAGCGGAGTTTATCGGCGAGCGCTAAAGGCAGGACCGGTGGACCCAGTGAGAAATGGTTTTCAATTCGACGTTGAATTGATGTCGAATTGATGTCGAAATCATCGCATATCGACATCAATTCGATATCGAATTGGCGATCATTTCTCATTGGGGAGTCCCCGGCGGCGTGCGTACGCCTCTGTCTCCAGTCCCAGGTCGCTACCGGACGATAGTACTTCCTTGTTTGCTGTCTCGCAGAGGCACTGTTCCGCAAAGTATCCTCGCTGGGGTGCGTTCGGATTCCTCTCTCAGTATGTAGCCGCTGTGTGACTGGTGAGAATGGGGTTTAGTTATTAGAAGACACTCAGGTGGCAAGGAATCCGAATGGTGATTGGAAGATATACGGGTGGGAATCTGAACGCGTCTCTAGTAATAACAAGAGTAGATGGATTATGACTTAATAATTAATAATTAATTTTAATTTTTTTTTAATATCTTATCTTTTTTATCATAAATTTTTTACCGGTAATATATTGCAGGGTATATTTAAAAAAAATTGCAAAGGAAAAGAGTCAGTCTGACAAGGTGGTTAGCGAGCAGATCGAAGAGGATTTTAAAGTATGTTTATTTTTATTTTTTATTTTCTAAATACATAAATTTTTTGTATATACATTGTCACGTGCTCCGCGAGGTTGGTGATTCGCGCGGGCGCGGATCAAAAACGGAAAGAGGAAAATCGTGAACGCTGTCGGGAGGGGAGGGTGTTAGCCCTCTGATGTAGGTCCCTCCTGCGATCGATGGGGAGTCGCGACGCGAGAGTTGGGTGCCAGACGTGCTCGGGGGCAACGTCGCTCGCGAAACTCAAAGCCACCGATAGCGCGGAAACGATACGGGTATTCGACGATACCCAAAATGAATGCTTCTCCCGAAGTCGGTCGCGTAAGGGCCGGCTGGCTCTACCTAACGGCAGAAAGGCAGGGCGGAAACGAAGGGCGAGTTACGTGATTTTCGACGGGATAATGAGAAGCGGGCGAAAGAATAAAGTCAAAAGTAAAGTGAGAAAGAACACTTTAATAAACGCTTGGTACGGCGATAATAAAGGCTCCCGTAAAGATAATTAACAAAAAAAGGAAAAAGAAAGAAAAGACTACTTGTCGATATGCGGCAGAAAATAATCTAGCGACTGGTTTAAAAGGAAAAAGTGCCAGCAACGGAAAACGCAGTAACAATAATGAGTTCGATCCGATACCTCGTTCGCAGAGGGACGCACGGCCTGGTGTGATAGACGGGCGCATGCGCACGCCCGGATCGGCAACCGGAAGTAGCGCGGCGCACAACTTAATCGACTCCGCCTGAGCTAAATTACATAAACTCGAACCGGTAGACAAAAACGCGATCAGACCGACACGGCATTAGAGTACGATAAAAGAATCTATCTCGGTCCGACGCAGGCACCGATAATAGTCAAGAATACACGCACGGAGTAGCCTCAATAACAGGCTCGCAAGACAGACACACGTACGGAAACGAAAAACGAACACTGAATTCCTTGCGTCGAGGCACAACGAAAGCACACGCACGAGGGATATACGCGAAGACGCTAAGTACTCGCGGGCTCACGAATACACGCACTTACAATAAACTTGCGCACTCGTGCACGAGGGCTTTGCGGCACATTCGCGGGGGCGATCTCCGGGCGGCTCGATATGCGACTCGCGACACTTTCGGTAGCCCACGGCAGAGTCCCGTAAGAATCCTCGCACTTGAGGACGGACGCCGACAACCAAATACTACGAACCACGTGTCGCCAAAAGGGCACACGAGACTCGAACACGAAAATGGCGTTTCCGTCCGCAGAGTGCGAATGGGATCCGCGACCTGCCCGTGGCTTTACAGCACTCGGAGATAGAGGATCATCTCACTGGCACGATCTCCTTCTTGACGTCCTCGGTCAAAGGTCCGGGCCGGCAGCCTTCCGTCTCGTTCGCTCTCTGTCTTTCTCTCTCGCTCGGTTATCGCTCGCTCCTCGACTTGATCGCACGCCGTGGTCGCTTGCACGCAAAAGCGGCGTAGATACGCGTTTGATACGCGATCAATGCCTGCACCCTCAGCCCGGGAGTGCGCAACTTAGCGGCGCACACGGTCGCGACCAGTCATGGCGCCGCGGGGGTCCCGCCGTGGCACGGGCGTAAATGGCGACTTTTTCTACGGGCGCCTCGCGTCCTCGCGAGGCCACCTTATCTCCTGGAAGTGGCGGCGTGGCATCTGGTGGGCGCGTCCTCCGCCCTTTACTCCGGGACGACTTGGCCACGTCGTCTCGGCAGCTCT